AAAGAGAAAACCTGTTCAACAAGGAAAGCAGAAAGCAGAAGACAGCTCAGTCACACAGAAACATCACACACCAGAGCAAAATGACTCAGCTCAGGCCTCTGCCTCTTTTTTCTCAGACTTGTTATTCTGTGAATCATGTTTACCGCCTACATCCATCTTTCACCCTCTGAACACTGTATCACCAGCCTCACTGGTGGCAACGGAAAAACAACAAAACTGAGGTCTACACAGTGTAATACCAGGAAGAAGGCAGAAAAATATCTAAGATGCTTTGTATTGGTGTGTAGTACAAATAAAACTTCCCAAAATACACCATTGTTGTACTTCCTCACGTCAGATCTCTGTGTACTTTACAAATAACAATTAATACAGATGGCTGAGGGACAAATTGATAGAAAACGCATTAATGAACTGGAATTAAGTCTTTGATAATGATGATGATTATGAGAATATGCACAATGCCTAATGAGCCACAATGGCTTTGTGTCGGGCATCATTGTGTTGTGTTTAGATTCACATTTTATGGTTTTTACTCAATGAAATATTTGTCCATGGAAAAATAGTGTCTAGATTATGGTCACTAGTTACCATGTTTTCAACTTTCTGAAAAAAACCAACCCTCAAATAATAGCAGCTCCTTCAGGACAATAACTGCAACTGATTAAATGTAACAGCATTGCAGCTGACTGAAAGGCTTTTCCAATATGTGGCTGTTACTGTTAAAAAAGATATTTGGATGTTTCTTTGGTCGACTCTTTTTTACAATGTTGTAGCACTCCACCAATCAGGACGGTATTGTTGCCAGTACTAAGCCACTCCCCAGTAAAAGACATATAAGCCTATTTGTCAGAAGGACTCTCAAAGCACGAGACACTAAATCCTCTGGTCTGATGAAACAAACATTGAACTCTTTGGCCTGAATGCCCTCACCAACTACAAAGAGCAGACCCCCTCCAACCCCCGAAAGGGGCCTCAAACTTGCACAGGAGCTCAACAGCTTCTTTGCTTGATTTGAGATCACCCAACCCCCACTCCCCTTGCCCCCACCTCCCCCGTCTCCCTCCAGAAGCATGAGGTCAGGAGGTGACTGAGAGCAGTGAACCCAGGAGAGCTGCTGGCCCTGACAGCATCCCAGGAGCTGTGGTTAAAGCCTGCACGGACCAACTGGCAGGGGTCCTCGCCAGGCTGTTCTACTTCTCCCTGACTCATGCTCAGACTCCTACTGTATGCCCTGTACACCAACCCACGCAACCAATGTCATGTCATCAAATATGCCGGTGACCACTGTGGTTGGGATCATCTCTCATGGAGATGAGATAGGGTACGAAGATGAAGAGACCTTGTCCTGCTGGTGCTCGGAAAATAAGCTGAAGCTGAATGTCCTCAACACAAAAGAACTCACAATGGACTTCAGGAGGTAAAAACAGGTCA